TCCATCAAAGCTCCGACCCAGTTAGAGCTTATATTTGATGGAGGGGCATAGAGTTCTTCTGCAAAACAGTAATTAACTATATAAGCGGTAAGTGCCAATTAAGATAGACGTTACTAAATGGATAGGATGATAGCATTAAGATTAAAGAATAGAAGGAGCTACTTTAGCTATGGTCAGTAGAAAATGTGTGATTGAGAAAGTAACACTTGGAATGAGTCCTAAAGGATCAGTCAAATCAGTCATTCCAAGAGCTGCTAGGGGAGAGTATTACAGGCAGAGAAAATAGCCTGTAATAAAATCTTTAGCCAGAAACAAGCCTGGACATTTAATGAAGAAAAATAAAACCAATGTGCCTGAGGCATAGTGAGTAAAAGACAGTATGCATAAAACAAAAAGCATGAAGTGGGCAGGGCTCAAACCATGTAAGTGTGTCAGGCTAAGTAATGGCCTCTCAAAGACGTCAATGTCCCAATCCCCAGAGCCAGTATGTATCACCCGAAATGGCAAAAGGGATTTTGCATATTTTGTTGTGTTAAGGATCTTGAGATGGCAAGATTACAGCAGATTATCCTACTAGTAGGCCTGATGTAATCCCCAGAGTTCTTAGAAGAGGGAGGGAGGCAGTCAGAATGAGTAGGAGAAAAAAAAAAACAGAACATCAGAAGCAGAGTTTGTGGAGTGACAGGCTTTGAAGATGGGAGGAAAGGACCACAAGCCACAGAACACAGGTGGCCTCTAGATGGAAAAGATAAGGAAGCAGAGCCTCCCCCCCAACGTCGTGAAGAAAAGCTTGACCTTAAGCCCGGTGAAATTGACTTTGGACTTCTGGTCTCCAGAACTATAAGAGAATAAGCTTGTGTTGTTTTAAGCCAGCAAAGCTGTGGTCATTTGTTACCACAGCCGTAGTAAACGAATACGGAGTTTAGTAACTGAAAGTGGGGAGCTGCTGTAACAGATACCTAACATAGGGAAGTGGCTTTGCAATTAGGTACTAGGGAGAAATCTGAAGAATTCTGGGGAGCATGACAGAAGAAGCCTAAAGTGCCTTGAGAAATATTTATTGCCTTTTAGGAGAAACATAGGTATTAATGATTCTGCTAGTCAGGACTGAGGGAAAAAAATGAGGCACGTGGTAGGAAAAAAACCTTCTACAGGTCTTAGATCTAGAAGACCTAAACAGGCAAAGGGATCACTGTGGAAACATAAACTTAAAGGTGCTGCTAGTGAGAAGTCAGAAAGAAAGGAAGAGCAGGAAACTGGAAACTGGAGAAAGGAGATCCTTGTGACCCAGTGGCAGGGGGCCTGGCTAAACCATGTCCTACAGTTACATGGAAATTACAGTGAACTTGGATATTTAGCTAAGGAGATTTCCAAGCAATCTGCTGAAAGGGTGGCTGGGTTTATTCATGCTGTTTTTAGTAAACCTTGGGAGGAAACAGATAAATCAAGGGAAAAACTTTTAAGTAAAAAGGCAGGAGGACTTCATGATTTGGAAAATTTTCAGCCTATCCAGATTGTGAATTATGCTAAAATTAGGGATTCAACGTCAAGAAAGCAGGCTCTGGAGCCAAGGGCATAGCTAGACAACCTTTTGTCAGTGTCTCAAACTGAACACAACTCAGTGACACAGAGAGATCTCTGAAGGGATTAAACCTACTAGTCTTGGGTCTTTCCCACCCTCATCTGAGCAAAAGCCAAAGAAAGAGATGGAATAACCCAGGAAAGACCTGTGCAGAAGCACCTTGTCTACCAGAACGAATCCCGATGACATACAGAAAAGACTCACGGGGTTTCTGAGAATATTATATATAAACCCTGCCAGCTGGAACTGAAAGGGTCAAGAAGACAAAATACAAGAAGACTGATGGACTACCAAAATCCTAGAGGCAGAAAACTGGTGCAAACACACACTACCTTTCATGAAAAAGGAAAGATGACTCCAAGGGTAGAGTCTTAAACCCAGAGGGTTGGAGCTTCAGACCTCAGGGTCAAGAGCTAGACAATGTGATTCCCAGACCTTGAAACCTAGAGCTTTTTCCCAGTTTCAAATTTTAAAATCGCTAAGTACCAGTGACTCCTTTCTTCCTTCCATTTCCTCCCTTTTGGGGTGGAAAAGTCTCTGTTATCCCATGCCTCCTCCATCACTGTATTTGGAGAGCAGGTAATTTGTTTTCTAGTTTCACAGGTCTACAGATAAGAAAGGAATTTTGACCCATGATGGGTCATACCCAGAGTTTCACCCACACCTAATATAAATGATTTTAGATGAGGAGTTGATGATATTTAGATGATGTTTTGGACTTGGAGTTGATGCTACAATGTAAGGCTTTGTAGACCAGGGTAAGGCTTTTTGATTTTATTCCAGGTATAATGGGAATTCACAGGAGTGGACATATATTTAAAATCTGATATACATTTAATGCATGTAAACCTGATTCTTATTTTAAAAGATCACTGGATTAAAAAAAAAAGGCTCACTGGTACATATTAAAGGAGAGAATTGTGGAGGTAGGGAAACTAGTTAGAAAATTATTAGAGTTGTGTAGGCAAGAGAAGACAGGAATGCAGGCTACAAGGATAACAGCAGGATGGAAAAAAGAGGATGGCTTCAAAATCTATTTTGAAGGTAGAAGTGGCAGAACCGGTTAATATATTAAATGGAAAGACAGAAGGAATGAAATAACAGTTACTCTTAAGGTCGGACTTGAGCAACTGGATAGACTGGGCTTTTTATTAGCGGAGACGGGGAAGACTGAGGAAGGTACAGGCTCATGTGAGAAAACCAAGACTTGCATTTTAGACATGCCAAGTTGTTTGTGGGAGACATCCAGATAAAAAGATTAAGTAAATACAGGCTAGAAGAACAGGCAGCTCGAGGACAGCTCAGAGCTGCATTTACAAATTTGTGTGGCATTTAAGAGAGAACTGAATAAAACCAAACAGAGGGAAAAGATGGAAAAGTGAAGCAAGTCCAGCACCAAACTCTGATACATTCCAGTATTTGAGTTCTGACAGAAGAGAGAAGCGAGGAAAGGAGAAAGAGAAGGAACAGCCAAACGGGTAAAAAGAAGCCGGATATGTCGTCAGAGATGCCATTTTACCAGAATCCCTGATACTAATTACAATTATTTGGCTTCATATAACCTTCAAATGCTCTCGGCTATCAAAGTCCAGCTTACCATGCAAAAGCTTTAGCTTTGAGCATTAATTTTGAAATATTTAAATACTTATGGAACATCAATCCCCTAGAAGAGGACACTGAACTAAATGCTGAGGGCACACACAAAGATTCAGAAATTTTCCACGAGATGGCTACAGTATGATCATTTTTTTAAATTTTAATCACACATTTAAAATTCTACAGAAAAGCAGAAAGAAGTGAAAAGGCTGGACTAATAGAAATCTGGGCAAGGCATTATCCGTGAACTACCTGGACTGGAATTAAGACAGCAATACAGAACAACAAGAAGACCCATGCTAAAAAGGTGTGTTCAGAGCATCACTGATCCCTGTCTATACTATTCTCGCTGCTGTAGCTTTATGTTCCCATCGTAGCCACAAAAGAGCCTCTGCACATTTACTGTCTTCCATTCTAGCAGTCTCTGCTCTTGTCTTCTCATTCACCTAACCACAGCTTTCACAACTTTTGATTCCAAGTGATTTGTACAGTGTCTTCTATCCCACCAAATAAATTCTGTGTTTTAAAAAGTTTTGGTGAGAAAAGCTAATAACTGTAAAATTATTTAAAACATTTTTAGTAATTCCAGATTAACATATTATAGAAGTTTTAAAAATGTTTACATCAAGGAAAAAAACAATGTATACATCTGTCCCCCCCCATATTAGATAAGAAGTATCAACTGACAATGATTATAGCATGAAAATCATAATAAAAAATTTGAGATTTTGGGAAATGGACCTCAATTTTCTCCTCTATGTTGCCAGAGGAAAGGTATATAAACAACACTTTAATCAAGGAGGTAGGGTGTTTTTAAATGTACAGCCGTCACACGTAGTGACACATAAACTGTAGTATGACCATGTTAATAATGGTCACACAAATTCACCATAGAAGGATTAGAAATTTTTTCAACTCTAAAGCAGCTGAGGCTTTTCAGACCTGCTGAAGACTTACTGAATATATGCTGACATTTCCCTGGCACACCAACAGGTATCACAAATACGATGCTGCCTCAAACCTCCTTAGGGTGAAATAGTGGGGACAGAATTGCTGCTCGCTGGCCGCTCAGGAGGGCCAAGTCAGTTTTCAAGAGAGATGCAAGAAAAACAAAGTCTCCCAAGTTTAAAAAGAGAAAAGAGTACTAAATTTATGAGGATTTCTTCCCCTGACCTCCCCAGATGTATCTTTTCCCTTCTTCACACCATTTCACCGATTTCTCGTTACTCGTGAATGTGGGGACTCCCAAGGTTCTCCTGATTCTTGCAAATCTAGAGAAGATCTGATTCCTTGCCTCCCACCTAATAACTGAATTACCTTTCCTGGGGCCACCTTGTTGAACCACCCGGTTGCCAGGTGGCTCCTTCTAAGGAAGCATAGACAGTTGTTGGTGTCAAAGGATGCTGTGGTCTTTGGACATGGTCCCGATCTGAATTTCAACCAACTCCTCACATCTCTCTGATGGGGTACAGTAATAGAACAGAAGTCAATGGGAGATCAGCATGCACTCAGATGCCAGATTCTGAAAGGGAACAAAAATCAAACCCTCCATTCTGTGCCTCTTCACCATGTCTAATAACCAATATGCTAGAAACCAGGCTTTATCAGCCTAACAAAACTAAATATAAAGTAACAACTCTCAGTAACCACATAATAAACAATACACACTTTATGGATACTTAAGTCTATAATACAAGTAAGAAATATTAGTACTTATTACATTTTATTCTAAGTGCAAATTACCTGCCATCTTACTAAAACTTAACATATGCTGTGAAGTATTCGTTTTGTATCAAAATATCCATGCAGAGCATTGACTTACCTTTTCGAATACAAATAAGTTCATGTACTCCACAGGTTCTTTCTCCACCTGTTAAAAAAATTTGTTAGAAGTTAAAAAGAGGAAATAATGTGAGTTTGACTATTATAAAGAACTGTTTTAAATTAGCTTTTACCGGGGGTGGCTCAGTGGTTAAAGCCTCTGTCTTCGGCTCAGGTCATGATCCCACGGTCCTGGGATCCAGTCCTGCACTGGGCTCTCTGCTCAGCAGGGAGCCTGCCTCCTCCTCCTCTCTCTCTCTGCCTGCCTCTCTGACTACTTATGATCTGTCTGTCAAATAAATTTTTAAAAAAAATCTTTAAAAAATAAATAAATAAATTAGCTTTTACCAATGAAAGAGTTTCCTAATCTTCCTTAAATTCAACTCTATGATAACTTGCTGTCCAGAATTTCCTTGAACTCATAAACTAAGATCTTATAAAGTCTCAGAATAAAGACTTCATCCAAGCCAAGCCTGTTATTTTAATGGCAATCTTCTCAAGAGCAGATATCATACCACCATTTCCTAAGGACCTCTTCACACCATCTAGAAGGAACCACTGCAGGAGAGAAGCCACTTTTGTATCTGAGGTTTAATATATACAGTTAAGTTAATATGGAAAGGTCAACCCTGTAAAGGCCCTATTTATATTTTATCACATATATACTCATATGGTATAAAATGAAATGTAATCTTTTCCCTGGGTAGCTAAAGAATACCCACTCTTGGGGCGCCTGGGTGGCTCAGTTGTTAAGCGTCTGTCTTTGGCTCAGCTCATGATTCCAGTGTCCTGGGATTGAGCTCCACACTGGGCTCTCTGTTTAGTGGGAACCCTGCTTCTCCCTCTTCCACACCCCCTGCTTGTGTTCCCTCTCTCAATGTCTCTTTCTCTGTCAAATTATAAAATCTTTAAAAAAGAAAAAAAGAATATCCACTCTTATAAATCTGTAAAAAAACACTTTATAAATAGGATGATAAAAACAAATTTAACCACAATGACAAAAATTACTCTATCATAAAATAAAAAAGTAAATAAAAATATTAGTCTCTATACAGATAGGCATTTCCTTCACTCTGAAACATAATGCCACTGTTTTATATGAATGCAAACTAAATGAAACTCTGTAGTGTTCTATATATACATGACCTTATAATTACGCTGTGAATTATGTTTAAACTTTGCATAATAGAAATATTAAATAATTTAATCTTATTCATTACAGAAGATTATGAACAGTTATGAACAGTTAAGTGTATATCTTATAATACTTATAAAAAATAGAAATAGCTTACAGCTGTAACATGAGAGGTAAAAGCCATGATATCCACTAAAAAAAGTAGGTCATCTGAGAAGCAAGCTAAAAAACTATAAAACAGTATTTCTATCGCTAAAGTAGGTTAGATCTGTATTCCAACTTGGTTGTAACAATGCCAGGTTTGTGATTATTATCAACACAACAAACTAATCACTGGTTATCAGGAAGATAGACTTAGCAAGAAGAAATACCTAATCTAAAACGATGATTATGAAACAACCATCATTCAGCAAACCTCCGTGTAAATGTACTGAGACCTTACTAACTGGAATATTACCAATGGGCAACCACTGATCACTTGCTGAAGGGCAAGAATGAGCTACAACTATACACCATATAGCTTTAATACTAAGAAGAACCTAATAAAAAACCAGAAAGAGGAAATTTACCAGATTACAGAAGAAACTATTTTCAAGAAATTTGGAAGAATCATAAAATTAACAATAACATAACTATAACATACACTAATGCCATCACTGATGTTTTCAGAGGCCACATAAAAATATTTCTTATATGGTCTTTAAGGCCTATTCTCCAGAAGATAACACTTGTAGTATAACGCAGTTTGCCTCATGTACTCAATTCATGTTAGTAAGACTATACTTTTTAAAGCCTATAATTAAATCTAGACTTTCCCTATATTTAATGTAAGTTGGTTAGGTCTTGGCATACACTACTAATCTTAAATATAAGTGCATGGTTTTTTGCAGGCTTAGTATTAATAGTAACAATAAAAATATTATATAAGATTTTTCTCAAAACTACAAAATGACCATGAAAGCTAACTCCCACTTTTAAAAGTATTCAATTTATCTATATCAAATGAAAGAACTTCATAAATAAAAAGCTAAGTCAAGGAATTACTATATTTTTAAATTTATAGAGTCAATTTATAATTGTCAAATTTGTCAAAGTATGCACAAAAATCACATAACTAGAAAAAAAGAGATTGAGCTCTACTCTTCCTAGCATCTGTTACCAAAATTCTAACCAAGTGAGATTCTGATGATGTACGTGGAAATCATGAACAATCACTATCATTACTGAAATGAAAAGGAATATTAAGGATAAATAAATGCCAGGCAGTGACATCTGGGGGGCTCAGTTGGTTAAAAGTCTGCCTTTGGCTCAGGTCATGATCCCAGGGTCCTAAGATCAAGTCCCACATTGCTCCCTGCTCATCGGGGAGCCTGATTCTCCCTCTCCCTCTGCCTCCCACTCTGCCTGCTTGTGCCCACTCTCTGTCAAATAAATAAATAAAATCTTAAAAAAATAAATGCCAGGCAATAAAATGAAATTTAGGAAAAAAACCTTCCTTTTAAAAGTACCAAAAAAACACAGAAAGTTAAATAAACTTTATTACTGGACATTGAAATCAATATTCCTTTTGTCCCCAATCCTTTCAGAGACCAGTTAAGAGTGTTAAGGAAAAAATATGCATTCTATATGTTAAATGTATAGGTTTTAATGAATATGTTTGGGAGTCAAAAGGCTTAAATAATTTTTCAATCAGAGATACAGTGAACTTTGTACAAACTTCATGCCTTGTTCTAAAATCTCTAAAAATAAGTCCGAAAAGTTTCCAAATGAGTCAAATTTGTAAACAAAAGGCAAGTCATGGTAGGCATATCCTGACTTAGAAAGGGTGGCAATTCAGAAAATGGCTTACTGATTTTAAGAGTATAATGCACAGGGGAATGATTATTTTTTAAAATTTCAGCTTTATTGAGGTATAGCTGAACATATAAAATTGTAAGATATTTAAAGCGCACATTGTGATAGTTTGATATAAGTATATAAAAAATATGCAAATCAAATGCATAGAAAAATGATTATTGATCATTTTTATTGAGTTAGAATTGAAGTAGAACACTGTGTAAGTTTAAGGTATACACATTGATTTGATATTTATATATCTCAATACGATTACCACCATAGCCTTAGCTAACACCTCTACGGCATCACATAATTATCATTTCTTGTGTGTGGTGTCACAATTAAGATCCAGTCTCTTAGCAACTTCTAAGTTGATAACATAGTATCGTTGTCTATAACCACTGTACTGCGCATTAGCTTGCCAGGACTTACTTATCTACAGGTTGCAAGTTTTCACTCTTAACATTTTCCCAATTCCTCCAGATCCCCCAGACCCTGGTAATCACCATTCCACTCTCTGTTTTTACAAGTTCAGCTTTTTTTAGATTCCACATTTAAGTGATACCATATACTGTCACTCATGTCTGACTTATTTCACTTAGCATAATGCCCTCAAGGTTCATCCATGTTGTCACAAATGGCAGGAATTCCATCTTTTTAGGGCTGAATAATATTCCATTGTATATACATATACCACCTTTCTACTCATTCCTCCGCGGACGGACACTTGGGTTGTGTCTTGGCTGTTGTGAGTAACACTGCAATAAACATGGAAGCACAGATATCTCTTCAATATATTTTTTTCATTTCTTTTAGCTATGTACCCAGCTGGGGGACTGCTGCATCTTATGGTGTTCTATTTTTAATTTTTTAAGAAACCACCATACTGGTTTCCACAGTAGCTGGACCAATTTGGGGGAATGATTATTTAAAGTAATAAATTAGTCAGTCTCTTTAGAAAGAGCGAAGTCTTCTACTAAAATGAATAATCATCCTCAAATGAACACTTATATAAATACAATTTTTCACACATCAAATTTACTGCAAACATATTAACACTAATGAAAACTTGGGAGACCATAAGAGAACGACAGAATATAAAAAGCGATCAGAAGTTGGAAATAAAGTTGTCTAGTTCATTAGAATAAACAAACAGAGGCACTAAACACTAAGTTGCCCAGGATCACTAGTTTATTGTCAGAAAAAATAGTTAGGACCCTAGGGCTGTTATAGTAAGGAATTTAAAAATAGACTTTTCTTCATTTTATGAAAAAAATAAAAGTTATGAAATAGTTTTCTAATCCTTTAAGGTAATTTAAAAAAGTCAGTTTCTCAAAACTATTCTTAGAGATAATACCAGCCTTGCTCTTGAAATAATCATCTCAGTAACATGGAAATGAGAAATAGAAAATGACAAGCTTAGTCACAGTTACCATCTTTTCCCTCAGGCAAACCCATGTAGGAGCATAATGTAAACCAGCAGAATCTTCTACAATTGGCATTAAGTACACAGTGTAAGAGGAAATAAATGTGTGTGGGCACACGCAGACATGCTACGAATGTGTGCATGTGTGTATGGATGCACATGACTGAGAGTGTACCTGGGAAACAGGACTTTCTTTTTAAGCAGGGGTTGAGGGGGAATGGTCATAGGGATTTATAACGTATGTACTTTTCCATATGCCTACAAAAGGAAATGGGCAGTGTTGTTACAGTCCCAACAAAATATGCCCAGTTATACAAAAATGGAATTAAACCCAAAGACTTAGTTTATTTAAAATGGAACTAGGAGTCCTTTTTAAAATTGACTTTATTTTTTCTACCATGTAAATTTTGACCAATAAATGAAGTCACTACAATTTACAGGCTCTATTAATTTCTTCTCAAACACCACAAGGCTACTTTAAAAATACCTTAAATTTGGGGCACGTGGGTAGCTCAGTGGGTTAAGCGCCCAACTCATGATTTCAGTTCAGGTCATGATCTCAGGGCTGTGCGATCAAGCTCTGCTTCAGGCTCCTAGCTCAGTGGGGAGTCTGTTTCCCTCAGTCTTGTCTGTCTGTCTCTCTCTCTTCCCC